CTTCCCCTATCTCTATCTGGAGACATTTGCTTTGCTCTTATGGGGTAAGGACAAAAAGGCTTATGCCACACTGGGGTTGGGTCCTCTCCTGCCCAAATCATCCTGCCCTGGCTTTTAAAGCCTGTACTTAATTCCTGGTGTGTGTGAATCTTGTCTCAACTCTACCAGCAGTGTATTTTAAAAAATGAGAATATAACCTATTTGAGGATGCTTTTTTGGTTTTGCAGACTCGTTCAATTCTAAGAAAGCTGCAAATCCATCGCAGAACTGAAGGCTGCCCTGCAGATTTCCTTATCATTATTCTTGCCACAGCAAGTGAACAGCAGCGCCCTCTCTAGCCTCCTTGGAGGACATCATCCAAAGTATACAGGAACCCATCCTCGAGCCCATCTCTCACTGGACAGTTCTGCTCATTAACATACTCCAGTATTTCTCCAAGTTTAGTCTGTGGGTCATGTGCACCAGCATCTCTATGGTACTTGTTAAAAATCATAGATTTCCAAGCCCAGCTCTAGGAATAAATCAACCTGCATTTGGACCAGGGCAAGAAACAATCATTTGCACTGTTCAGAGGGGTCTCCAGTGATTCTTATGTACAGCAGAGGGGGAGGCCCAGTGTTAGTGGACTCTATGGAATTATAACCTAAGTCCATCTCCCTTAAAACTGATAGCAAGTGGCTTCTCTCTTCTTCACAGCAGTTCCTCAAATACTAGAGTTCCACTCCCCCTCCCTAACCTCCCCCCCCACACATTCAGTTGTAACCTGTTATTTAATTTTCTTTACAACACAGTTCCAGTCAAACCCAGACCCAACTTCGTTCCTCTCTTCTTACTCCTATGCTGTTTGTCAATGTTTCTCCCTAAACACATGGCCAAAGGCATCATGCACCTCACAATGTGAGGAGGAGAGAGAAAGAGCTGGGAGATTTTTAATGCCTTCAGGACCCATTACCAATTTAGTGAAGCATTTCATTACGATCAGGAGATTGCCCTCTCCAGCCTCAGCCAAACAGCAACCAGCACCATCATTTCATAAATCTTTGCAAATTAAACAGGAACGTGTCGACTCTTCAAAGCTGTTTTATGTTTATTTACGTTTTCCACATAGAAGTAGGAAATCATTTTTGGTTCTGGTTGTTGCATTTTTGTTTTTGTTTTTTTTTTGAGCTGGTACTGGGCTTGAACTCATCCTCTCACTAGGCTTTTTCACTCAAGACCAGCACTCCAGCATTTGAGCTACAGTTCCACTTACAGCTTTTTGCTAATTAATTGGAGATAAGTCCCACAGACTTTCCTGCCTGGCCTGACTTTGGATCAGGCTCAGCTTCCAGGGAAGATAGGATTACAGACATGAGCCTCCAGTGCCCCCCTCCCCACTGCAAATTGGCATTATACATTTGTAAATTTTCCCTTTCTATCCTTTCTTATTTTCTTCTTTTAATTCTTTTTTTTTTTGTCGGTCATGGGGCTTGAACTCTGGGCCTGGGCGCTGTCCCTCAGCT